TTAACAGAGTGGGATCTGAAGCAGAACAGCCGAACTCCATTTGGCACTCTAACATGAGGTGCTGGCATTGCAGGTATTGGCTTAACCCACTGTGCCACCACATTTGCCCCTGGCATTTATGGTTATAAATACAACACCCTTACTGGTAAACAGTCTTAAATTGGTTACTGTTAATCCAGTTCTATTTTTGAAAGCTATTAACCTAGACTTCTGCTTCTGTTAATCATGAATCTAATCATTGTCACAAGCCTATTGTCAGAAGATGATTAGAAAAGTTACACAAAGCATTTCAGCAGTCTGCTGGAAGGTATCAGATGTAAGAACATGATGAAGTGTTTTCAGGCCAACATCTGGGTACCAGGAGCTAGAATTGACCTCCAGGGAGGTGCACTGAGAACTGAAAGTCTCTTCAGCCCTGAGGTATCTCCAGCGCCTTTAGGGGACTACAGAGAAGGTGAGATGGGGTCTATAGTGTTTATCATTCTTGCGGATCTATGGGAAAAACTGCATTCTGCGTGGCAAATGGAAACTGACCAACTCTTCACTTTCAGCCAGGAACCTGAAAGTTCTTATCTTCAAAGCAGAATGAAATGGAGGCACAAAATCCCACACTATCATAACTCAACTTTTAATTTAGTCAATTGTAAAAACTGAATTGATTTAATCCTGAATTGTTACTGTCCTCATTTTTCCAGCAAAAATGAACTGTCTCTGGAGGCAGCTAGTGTCATGCTAAGCCTCAAATTATCTGTATAACACTTTCACAATTACTTCATCTCTCGATGACTCAAAAATCAGGCCATGAGGAAAGGGTTCAAATAATAAAAATACGTGGAAATAAGGGATAGACAACACACCGTGATTATGGAAGCATTTCATAATGCACATCCTCCACAGGGAACCCCTGCAACAATTACTGGTGCCAGAAATGGCCTGAGAGAATTCAGATGCAGATGGAATTCTGGAGTTGGAATACTTTCTGCCTGGAAGATAATGAGGACACCATCACTCCTGTGTGGGAGATTACAGAGGACCCACCGAAGAAATGATTTTATGAGTGTTCAAATTACCCTGGTGTGCTAAATGGAGATAGGGTACTACTGGAAGTAAATGCCCTGGCAGGTGGAATACATCAAGTGTATGGGAATTATATGACAATAGTACTTGTAACAACAAGGAAATTGGTGGCTTTCTGGGGGGCAACTGAGAATCACAGGATCGCCCCAGGCTATGGATGCTTAACTATCTATTAAAGACTAATGATTATATGTGATAGTCTCCTGGGAGTATATTACAGAGAGTTTATCACCTGCAGCTAAAAAGCAAAGATTGTTAAGGATCAGGGCCATGATTCACTCTCAAAATGCCAAACTCCAAAGAGGTATAAAATTGAAACATAGATAGTTGCTATGTGAAAGGAAGGACCCTGTTAGGAGAAGATGAAACTTGGAGACTTAGCATGGAGATGTTCATTTATTTCAGTTCCCCAGATTATCTGGATCATCTGAACTTGGAGAAATGACATCCTCATCATTTCTCACAATCATTTACAGACAAATTAAAATTCTGTATACAACAAATCAGATTTGAGAGAGTACTTCTTTTTTTTTATTCTTAAAGGAAAAGGTTTATTGATAGGGGAAATCCAACAGGTTGGAGGGAAGGGCAATGAAAAAAAGAGACAGGAGTTGAAAAGGAGAGATCAAAAGAGAGAGGGTGAAGAAGAAACATAGAGAGAGATCTGGAAAGAGAGTGTGTGCACCAGGAGCAAGTCTTGTTACACCTTTGCTGGGGGGAAGGGAAATAGGAGCAGCAAATCCTATTAGGGTGGGGGTGGAACTGACACCTGTGGTTGGGCCATCTGGTCACCTGGCTTCCAGCAATGGTGGCAGGGGATAGAGCCTAGGATGGTGTCCGGGGCATAGATCACACCACAGGTAAGACTGTGCCATTTTACCAACATTCCCCCCTTTTGTATTTTATAAAGCAAATGTTGTATGGGATTATATCAGCCCCAAAAGTCCAGGAGGGACTGAACAGGACCCAAATGAAATAACAAATAATGTGTTTTTGAAATACCACTAATAATCAAAGCTACAAGAAACATTGAGAGCTACAAAGAAACAGTCATAGATGAAGATAACAGTGGATTTGTTTCACTAGTCACTCTAGAGCCTTCACTTACTGAACAGAATGTCAGGCACATTCGCCAACAGAATACACAATTCATTCTTCAAATCTCCCACTATTTTTTTTCTTATTTTTACTTTTACCAAGCATAAATGATTGAAAACATTTTCAGGTATATTTCTGAAGACGTGACTGGAGCTAAAATGAAATTTTCTTTTTATCAAGTTTGTGTACATTAACAACTGTGGGAAAACCAGAACTTTATTGTTCCATGATTCTCAAGTTACAGCACAGAAACATAATTACCTAAATTTCCTCATGGGTGTATGTATGAGGAACTGGGCTCATGTGAACTGGGCTCCATAAATGGGGCATATTCCAGGGAGACATCAATGGAAGTGGCATGAGAAAGTAGTTCCACAACAAATCCATTCAGATGAAGGTGAAATTCGAAACCTTCACCTTTGGGAAACAGTTGTGACTATTTCTAATAGCAGCATCCAACCTGTGGTGTGTGTCCCCCTCCAGATTCTGCTTTCCTTAATAAATGTGAAATCTACTGTTTCTCACTTAGCGCGCTAACAGTTACTCTTTTTCTTCAGCGGGTTGACGTCCTGGCCTGAAGTGCGGGCATCCCATGTGGGCACCAGTTTGAGTCCTGGCTGCTTCTCTTCCAATTCAGCTCTCTGCTATGGCCTGGGAAAGCAGTAGAAGATGGCCCAAGTCCTTGGGCCCCTGCACCCACATGGGAGACCTGGAAGAAGTTCCTGGTTCCTGGCTTCGGATGGGTGCAGCTCCGGCCATTGAGGCCATCTGGAGAGTGAACCAGTGGATGGAAGATCTCTCTCTCTCTCTGCCTCTCCTCTCTTTGTGTAACCTCTGATTTCAAATAAATAAATAAATTTAAAACAAATTTAAAAATGGAAACGTTTTGTATTCTCTAGCAAAGGTATTTTTGTCTTTGTGGACATCTATGTTTACTTTCCTCCTCAGATGCAAGAAAATGCCAGAAGTGTCTGCTATAAAATACATTGTTCAATATATAGACAGACAGGTAGCTATTTACATGATGGCTGTTTTAATAAAATTAAAGACCTGTTTCTTCAGTCTCATGGGTCATTTTAAGAATTTAATAGGCCCATATGACTCACAACTAATGTATCAAACAAGGCAGCTATAGAACAATTTTATCACTGAGCAAAATTCTACTGGAAAGAGCTGTCTAAGGCACTGATAACTTGACTAGGACATATCATCAGCTACATTTACATTAGAGGATCCTTTCTTAATGGGTTAAATGGTTCCATAAGTGGTTTTAAGTTTTGAATTTCATATAAGATAGTGTATGCCTCCTCCACTGTATTATTCTATTTGATTTTGCCAGCAAGCTTACCAGTGATCAAATCAGGTACAGAATTCACTTCATTTTAGAGTAACAAAAATCAAATCTTATTAGCACTCATTACCAAGCACTGAGGTTTTTCTTCAAGCTGCCTTAGAGTGAATGATGTTAAACTCCATTACTGAAATCTCCAGGCTGACGCTAACAGACTCATCCTTTTGGGAAAACAAGTTCATGTGCTGGCATGTGTTGTCATGGGTTAAGCCACCAGCTGCTTATGTGGGGTGCCAGTTATCCCCTGCCGCTCCACTTCTGATCCAGTTCCCTGCTAGTGTTTCTGGGGAAGCAGCAAATGATGGCCCAAGCAACTGGTCCTCTGCCACCCTTGGGGGAGCCCACATGGAGATCCAGGGTTCTGGCTTTTGCCTGGACCAGCCTTGGCCTTGCAGCCATTTATATAGTGAACCATCAGATGGAATCTCTCTCTGTTTCTCTCTTATTTGTCACTCTGCCTGTCAAATAAGTCAATGAATAAATCTTTTTAAAAAAGATTATTATCATAAGATAAGTTTCTCCGAAACCTGATAGCTTAAGCCAGTCAGGATCCAGAGATGATATTACAAGGCTTTGTTTGTATGTAATTTTTACAAATATGTTTGGATTGTAACAGAAAATATGAAAAATGGGGTAAGATGATAGCAATTCCATAAGCTCAAAAGGGATTAAAGGTTAACAAAAGCATCATGTCAAAAATAAACAAGCAAAAACTAGACACATTTATTTTAGAAAGTACAAATCAGGTATAATTATAAATACCTGTTATGCTGAAATTTAAACTCAGCAGACACAAGTTGATATTTGATAAAAATTCACACATTTGTACTTAAACTATTTCATAATATGCTTTCAGAAAATTTACTTATATAAAGGATGGTCAGTATCACCATTTGAATAAAAATTTTAAAAATGAAAATTAACTGCATATATAAATTCAAGCAAATTCATTTCTAAAACTCTTCCTGACTGTATCACATTGCAAAAGGTAAGGAATTTGAATTCTCTTAGGTGTAGAGTGGAATTAATTGTCATAACACAAAACACACAAATCTACCCACTCAGAAAATGCACTTTTCTCTCCCTTGTTTTATAAGATATTTAAGAAATATAAGAAACAATTAAATGAACATGTAAAATATTTGTACAGCTATGTAATATAATATATATTTAAGTATACCCTTTTAATTTTTAAGCTTTTAGCTGAAATCCAAAGCTTTAGCAAGTTTTTTAGGAGGAGAAATTGAGTATACACTTTCAAGCATGCCTTACTATTTGTAATGTCCATGTCAAAACAGGTCTTTTCATAAAATGAATGATTTGTTCCCTGAAATAATCCAGTATTTCTTGTATTATAACTATATTCAGAATGTGCAATACAATTATCACGTGGAAACATCCTCTTAAAATACTATCTTACAAGGAGAAATATGAACTATAAATGAAATACAAATGTAGATGGATGCTTAATTACCTTAATCTGTAGCATTTTCCTTAATAAATTACAACTGTGTTCATCAGTGTGCCTGGAATGCCCAAAAATATAAATGAAAAATATTAATTTTCCATCTTCACACATCAGGTACAGCTAGCATCCATATTCCTGACATGTGACTGGATGTATCTTACTAGATTATACCATGAGTCACTTGGGCAGAATCAGTCTCAACCTCAAATCACTTTTGGTAGAATATTGGGAAGGAAAGATTCAGTCAACTCTTTAACTGCAAGTGCTTTGGAGTAAACAGTGATTAATTGTCAGGTTGAGACAGGATGTTTTCAGCACTTTCTGATTCATCTATACATGTCAAATCATTACCAAGAGGTCCAAAACTTAACCTCTCACTCCTGACTAGAAACAATGCATTTTTCCAGGGTTCTTTATTGGTTTTTTCCTTAACTTTATTTTTCTGACTTTCAAAAATATCAGGAAAATATACATATAACAGCCAAAAAGTCTAAGGAGATGTATTTACCTACATTAGACTCTGAGGATAAACTGATTTCTTATTAATTTCATGATTATATGAGATCCAGTTTTTATCTCTGGAAACTTGTTATTTAGCACCTCATACTTAACACTTTGTAAAAATAAAGTCTAGATAGACTCTATTTTTTATACTCTTACAAATAAATCGCTGGAATAATTGTTAAGAGTTTTAAAAATAATTAGGTGTTCCTATAAACTGAGATTCAAAACTATAAATAATAAGATCATTTGTATCTATTACACTTTGAACCTAAAGGCAGTGGAGAAACAAATGTCAAAGATTTAAAATATTCAGTTTACCAAAAATAAGCACACAATCATGGAATATTTTACATACACCTATAAATTAATTTTAAATAAAACCTGCATTTAGTAAATCTCATATATTTAAATTCACCAAATGTTAGTTGTTCCAAACAATATTTATTACCTGCTAAGCCTCAGAGACCATTATTTTCATCTCAGTTCTACTACTAGGCAAAATCTAAATGTCAAAAGTTAGCACAGTGTTTAATGAGTGGATAAATATTAGAAACCACAGCTCAAAATCCTAGGTAAGTCATTATTAGGGGCTTACTAACTTCAGTACCTGACATTTACTTCTGTTTTCATATTAGTTTTAGTTTTCATTAAATATCCTCCTGCACTGAGATAAGGTATTTAATAAAGAAAAAAGTGTACTTCTTTCCTTGTAGTTTACTAGAACACAGCATCACCAAATGCTCCCCAATGCAATTGGACAGTATTATCTCAATAAGTTATTAATCTCTGATTGCAAAAAAAGTAGGGAAAAAGTATAGTCTAATTATTTGGAAAATATACAAATGTTGTTACTAATAAAAATACAGAATTTACTATTGGGAATCCAGAGGAGAGACATTTCTCCAAAAACTTGATGAAAGAGAAAAGGAAAACAAGACTTGGACTGAAGAGTAATCTTGAAAATAATCTGATTTGCTGTCATTATCATATAATTATATTACCAAGATTGTGGACTGAGATTTTTATTGGGTTTTCAGTCTATAGGATCTTAACAATATGAAATTATTTCAGCAATTCATATTTTAATTCAAAAGTTTGAGTCATAAAACTGATAAAACCAACCATTCCTGGTCTAAAGTTAGCTAGGACATAGAAGCACAATCTATTTGCTTATTGCAAAATGTGATTTCGTTCATACTAGTAAACCCCAACATTTAATATCTGTTCATACATTCAAGCCTCAGATCTTAGTTTATTCTAAATTCATTAAATATTTTGCCATGGATGTGCCTTTGGCATAGCAATTTACATACACTTTGGCACATGTACATCCCATATCCTGGTGTCTGGATTCAATTCCTGGCTATGCTTTAGATTTAATTTTCTTACTAATCCACACTCTGTGAGACAGCAAGTCTCACATTCAAGAACTTCATTCAAGAACTTTGGTCCCCAACACTCACAAAAATATCAACTGACTTCTGGGTTCCTTACTTCCTGACCCAGACTTGAGTATTGTGGGTTTGGGGAAAATGAACCAGGAAATGGACAATGTCTCTTGTCTCTGACTTTCTATCTTTCAAGTAAGTTTTATATTTATTTCCATCTTCTGGCTCACTCCTCAAATGGCCACAATGGCTAGCTGGGTCAACCAGAAGCCAGGAGCAAGAAGCTTCCTCCTGGTCTCCCAGATGGATGTAGGGGTCCAGGCACTTGAGCCATCATCCACTGCTTTCCCAGGCCAGCAGAAGGGAGCTGAACTGGAAGTGAAGTGGCTAGATCTTGAACTGGCACCCGATATGGGATTCTGGCACCAGAGGCAGAAGCTTTACCCACTACAGCACTGGCCCCCATCCTGGACTCTTTTTTTTACTTTTTAAAGATTTATTTGTTTATTTGAGAGGCAGAGTTACAGACTTAAAGGAAGAAAGAGAGAGAGAGAGAGAGAGAGAGAGCGCTCTTCCAGCTCTTCCATGTATTAGCCCATTCCCCAAATGGCTGCAAAAGCTAGAGCTGGGCCAATCCAAAACCAGGATTCAGGAGCTTCCTCCAGATCTCCCACATGGTACAGGGGCCCAAGCACTTGAGCCATCATCTACTGCTTTTCCAAGCACATTAGCAGGGAGCTGGATCAGAAATAGAGCATCCAGGACTTGAACTACAGCCCATATGGGATGCTTGCACCACAGGCAGAGGTCTAGCCTACTATGCCACAGTAACAGCCCCCACTCTAGACTCTTGTCCCACACTTAATCACTGCTAAAGCTCCGTGGCCCTACCCAGCACACCCCTCTGGATATCCATTGAAGGAACAGACACTCCACTAAGCCAAAAGGGATAGTTCAAAGATAAAAACCATTAGAGGAGAAATCCAACAAATGTTTCCACAAATGCCAAAAATCAATGCAGAAATACAAGAAACACGAGCAACTAAGACAATATGATTCCCCCAAAGAATCACAATAACCCTTCAATATTAGAATGTGAAATGAAGATACTGATGAAACACCTGAAAAAGAATTCAAAAGAATGATCATAAGGTACTATAAAACACAGAGAAGAAAATACATGTGTTAAAGAAATCCATACATGACATGAATGAACAATGTTCCCAAGAGATAAAAATCTTGCAGTACAGAATCAAACTGAAATATCAGAAATGTAGAATTCAATAGGTCAAATAAAAATACAGTGGAAAGTCTTAACAACAAATTTATTGAAGCAGAGGAAAGACTAAGCTAGAAGACAAATCCTTGGAAATAATAAAAAAGAAAAAATCAGAAAAACTGAAAATAATGTTTGAGATTTATGGGATTCTATAAAATGGGTAAACATATGTATCTTAGAAGTTCCTGAAAGTGTGGAGAGCATATTTTAGAAGGCCTATTCAGTGAAATGATAGCAAGAAAATTACACCATTTAGTTGATGACAGGGACATCCATGTATAGGAATCACTTAGAACCCTTAATATACATGATCAGAAAAGATCTCTACAAGGACACATTATAGTCAAACCTTCGAGAGTAAAAGATTCTAAAATGTGCATGAGAAAAATGCCAGATTACTTTCAGAGAATCCCCAGTTAGACTGACAGTTGATTTCACATCAGCAGCCCTATAGGCTAGGAAGAGTGGAGAGACATAGTCCAAGGTGTAAAAGAAAAAAAAATCTCAACACAGCAAAGCTCTCATTTATAAATGAAGGTGAAATAGGGGCCAGCTCTGTGGTGCAGTAAGTTAAACCTTTACCTGTAGCACCCCATCCTATATGGGTGCTGGTACATTTCCCAGCTGCTTCTTTTCTGATCCAGATCTCTGCTTACGACCTGAAAATATAAGCCATCTTATGGATCTCCTTGAACCCATGTGGGAGATTAAGAAGAAGTTCTGGCTGCTGTGGCCATCTGGGGAGTGAACCACTGGAAGGAAGACCTTTCTTTCTGTCTCTTCCGTTTTCTGTAACTCTACCTCTCAAATAAATTAAAAAATGAAGGTGAAATAAATATCTTTTAAAGCAAACAAAAATTAAAAGAATTTGTTAACCACTGATTCAGCCTTAAGTACATTCTTAAAGATGTGCTTCATTCAGAAACAGTGTATAATAGCCATCATTATGAGAGAATGTGTATGCAGAAAATCTCGTATTAAAAGCACAAAAGAAATCCAAAGCAAACAACAGGAATCTTTATGGGGAAATGGCAGGACAAGGTCATTACTTATTAATAATAATCTTAGGGCTGGCACCGAGGCTCACTAGGCTAATCCTCTGCCTGTGGCGCCTGCACCCCAGGTTCTAGTCCCAGTTGGGGTGCCAGATTCTGTCCCAGTTGCTCCTCTTCCAGTCCAGCTATCTCCTGTGGCCCGGGAAGGCAGTGGAGGATGGCCCAGGTGCTTGGGCCCTGCACCCACATGGGAGACCAGGAGGAGGCACTTGGCTCCTGGCTTCGTATTGGTGCAGTGTGCCGGCAGTAGCAGTCATTTGGGAGGTGAACCAATGGAAGGAAGACCTCTCTCTCTCTCTCTCTCTCACTGTCTAACTCTGCCTGTCAAAAAAATAATAACAATCTTAAATGCAAATGTCTTAAATTCTCCAATTAAAACATACATACTAACTGAATACATTAAAAAAGCAAGACCCATCTATTTGCAGTCTACAAGAGACATACCTTGCCATCAAAGACTCATTCAGAATGAAAGTGAAAGGGTGGAATATGATATTCCATGCTAACAGAAGGCAAAAATGACCATATATAACCATCCTAATATCAGAAAAAGTATAACATAATAAACTGTTAAGAGAGACAAAGAAGGGAATTATGTAATGATTAAGGGATCCATTCAACAGGGGCATATGACTATAGCAAATATATATGCAACCAATGCTAGGTTATCTGGCTGTTTAAAACAAATGTTAATGGATCTAAAGGCGGACATAAAGACCAAAATATAATAATACTGGGGAATTCATAAACCTAGTTTCATCAATGACCACATAAAATAGACAAAAAAATTAACAAACAACAAAGCTAAATGAAACTATGGACTAAATGGACC